ATGACAACTACTATGGCAGACGACTTCGGACTAGGTGCGTTCTACATAGTCTCCCTGAAAACAAGACCAAATTGCGATAACGAGGTCAACCCACTTCTATCAATCGAAAGAAGACTGCGACCATACCAGAGGCCACAACAACTTGGTCTTCATATATTTAAATGTACACCCTAAAAGTATAACAGGTGAAAAGTTAAACAGACTCAGTTGTTGTATTAATCAATTTGGCAATGTATGATACATATTTTGCCTTCACTGATGAATTGCCTGAACAAGCACTTCTTGATTTTTCCATTAAATTCCACTTTTCCATGCAAGTTAAAATACCATTCTTATCCAGTCTAAACTTAAGATTTAACGTCGCATTATCTAATCAGCATTATCAATGGGATTCGAGTCAACCGTACAGACAGAGAGAAAACACACTACCCATTAAGCCAATATATTGAATCTAGTTCCATTTTGATTGAAATGTGTGCTGAAGAAATGCAAATGTCGATTCTACCAGAAGATCAATGTTTTAGTGATAATCCGGATAACTATATAGGTTAAAAAACTAACCCTCGTCTTGTAACGATAGTTGAGGAAGAAGTTAAATATAAATCCAGCATACACTGGTTTCCTATATAAGTCCCTGCCAAACTTACCCCCTGCTTTTATAATCAAGAAATAGAAAAATTATAAGACATCATACGTTTCTATTTATATTGTGAACTTAATACTTAATAGCGTTGGTTCGACCTTGTTTTGTAACTTGGTCGAAGCGTCAGGGAGACCTTGTAGAACGTACTCAGTAACGTGTCCTCTGCCATAGTATTCGTGATTTACAGCATTCGACTATTGGCTGGGTACCTTCCCAAACATTTCACCAGTAATACTTAATACCTATAATATTGGTTAGATAAGAACAATACATTATTTAATCTATAATTGCCATGACAATAAATTGTAAAATGATGATCCATATATAGGACTAAACATGTCGACGTCAATCTTATCTTTCAATAAAGCATTCCTCTACTTTTAATATGTAAGAATTATTCCAAATAAGGGCTCATTCTAGGTCCCTGAATCTGCTCATACAGCCGATCCTTGAAGATAGCATATGTGCTACTTATGGATACGTCAAGTAGGTTTAAACTGATATTGTACTATATTCATTCCTTCATTAGTAGCCAGGTATTCATCTAGACCGAGTGCTAGGGCTTGAATATCTCTTAAATTGGAATGTTAGTATAAATAAACATGATATCAAAGGTCAGTAGTAATTTGCTGATTTACCAATTTAAAAAATGTATATGTATGTGTATATATTGCTTAGAAAAATGATGAAACTCTCAACACCTAAACGTGAGGGTCTTTGAGACAGTCCAGTAATCAAATATCAATAGGATATCTTCGACAAAAACTACTAACAAAGAGCTCCATACATAAGACGACAGACAAGAAGTTACCAGTGCAACCAGGCTCCGACGACGTAGCCATATTGGGTGATAGAATCGTAAGAGAGTGACCCAATTCACCGTTCATAGCGAGATATCTGAAGGTGCGAGGCCTCGCAATAAAATGACACTGCGAAAGAGGGACTTGGCACGGGATGAGTTCATAGCATAACTCTGTTCCAGTGAATCAGCTTGGCGAGTTCCATAAACCCAAGATACCTCAGTACAACCTATCATATGTGCCATGCCAGGGGCCAGTGGCTATCAATCATTCAGCCGAGATACTTATTTCTCAATAATGCAACAATAATACAAAAGAACAATAATTACCTGTCAGATGTGTCAAATCTTTTTAATTTAAGACTATATTTTATTCCAAGAATACTCTGACATAAAAAAAAGCAGTGGTGCACAATTATGCATTGTTCAGAGCATGCAAAAACCTTCAGAAAATTTGCTGGCTCACCATCATCAAAGAGGATGAAGTTAAAACAGGCCAAAATAGGCATAAAAAGTATAAAAATGATAAAAATGCAAACTACCGATATTTTTACAACGTTGGGCAACCGGGCGTCGCAGCTGATGAATAAATTTTTTCGCGTCAACACGAATCTCGAAGATATTGTTGAGCAGAGCAAACAGTGGGCCAAGTGGAAAAGTTGGAACGAACATTGTAATAAAGCCGAACTGGATCACTGAAGAAGAAGAAGAACAAGAAAGCAAAGTAAATTGATTCTAATTAAATATAGACAAGCGAAGGCATTTGGCTAAAATTTCCATGAAATGCAATAAAATTTTGTCTAATATATATTAATTCAATATAGTAAATAGTGAAAAAGTGGCTTTTTCTAACTACTTCAAAGGTTGATCTATATTATTCATGTACCAAATCAACTTACTAATGTATGTATTTTTCATTTGTTCACAATTCAATGCCTGGATACATGGGCTCTTTACTTAGAGCAAATAAAGTCACTTAAGACAAATTTTATTTTAATTTTTTTCATATTGAGAGGTAATTGCGAGTTTACAGGTAAAGTCAATTCGGTACTGACTTTGTAGTTAGTAGCAAATTATCCTGCATCAAATGAAGAATAAATAACATGTCAAGCTTAATGACAAACATAAGGACTGATAACAAAATAAGATTCCTCGCAAAGACATGAAAATGATAAAGACTTGCTTAGCATTAAATATGCATTCCATGTGACCTAGCAGAGTTAGGCTCGTGTGATGTGGGGTAACATACATGCTTAAACTAGTATGGTTCGAATCTTTGTGAGATTCTGATGAAGCTGAAGTCAGGCTAAAACTAGTCCATCCTGTATGAAAATTGTCTTTTAGTATACGAAAATCGAGTTTTATCTATAATTTGTCGAAGCAAAATGATTAACTATCTAATAAAATATAATAAACAAGTGCAGTTGGAAAAAATTTAAATTCTTGTTTATCCAAGAAATAACTTAAATTTACCGTGTTCGGTAAATAAAGCCCACAGAATGGTCAGATTCAAATACGTTCATACTTATATCTTGGGCCAATATTTGGTCCAAACATCAAAAGTCCCATCACAAATCCCTTGTTTTTTAGGCTTCAATCCGTTAGGAGTGAGAGGAGGCTTGTAAACAGCATCCATTGGATGTCCACATGAGATATGACGGATAATAAGATTATATAATCTAGCATATGATTCAGCCACATGAATTTTTACCGTAGCTAGAGGTTAAGAAAGCAGATATATTAGTATCTGACCTTTAAAATAACCCTGACAGTCAAATTCGTTGGATGGTTCAGCTCGCGCAAGATAGAATTATCCTTGAATGAACATCTTCTCAATTGAGGGCGATAAAAATCGTACAAGTATGTATGATTATAAGGCCTCAGAAACCCTTTCAAATCTCACATATTCGTAATTAATTAAAACTGAAACTCTCCTACTAGCATTATTTCAGCAGCTCAATTCTATGAGAGCTATTTTAATTGAGTTGAAAGTAAAATAAACTATGTCAATTTTAAGCAATCCAGCTTTTAAGAAAGACTACAAGGCTCACTGAAAATAGGTGCTGTCTATAAGCCTATAAATAGGAAGGAAGTTTATTGTTTTTCTTTCACTAGGATTTAAATTAAAGTAAACTACTGCAATATAAATAATAAAATCTACCAACTGGGTTCAAAAAAGAATATTATAATCCATAGAATGCGTTAAAGTGCACGCCTGTTAGTCCTGCTACCCTCAAGTAATCATGTTAAACTCTAGCCAAAAACTATGAAAGTATTACGCATTAGTCCAGGTACGAATCCAAAGCAAACGAACCAATGAATCTCTGAGTCAATGAGTGGCGAATCAATACAAGATAGATTTAAGAGGGATAGGCGAGTATCCATGCAAACGGCACGAACTCATTTCCAAATATTCGTTGAAAAGAGGCCGCGATCCGGGGTCCAGCATAGCGAAATTTGCCCGACACAACAGCATTGCTCCATGAATCCGTTTACGAGCAAAGGATGTATCCTCTTCACCCGCTTCATGGGCAGCACCAGATGTCCAAGGACCTGGGATTTCCGTGGACCCGAAGGTGCTTGCTTCTGTAATTTTGATTTCGGAGTCGACTGGCATTGCGTTAAAAAGTTTTGCCCCTTTACCTGACCTGAAGGACTTATTAATTCGAGCACGCATGAGTGTTAGACATCGCAGTAGAGGGCTAGATAATAAAGTAAGTGAAAAATGTGTATATGTTAGTTAACAGGAAATAAGTATGGATAAATTACATAGTTAAACAAAGAATTCAAGGAACAAAGGATATAAAAAATGTTTGTATGTAATAAAAGGCACTTTTGGGGTAAAATACAATGAGGATTGTGTAAAACAAATAATAAGAGGTACTAGTCGGTCTAGGTCTAAGAGGATAGTAAAGAACTAAGTTTAATTTTTGCAAAATGGGATGAATAGTTTTCATGATTTCATTGAGCCTCACTTAGCCTTGCCTCTCAAAGGATGCTTTCATTTAGCAAGAACTGCAATTTCTACTTAGCCCAGAGTCTAACCGGCATCCCCAGCCGAAATCGAACTTTAATACTGCAATGTATATATTCGACATGTTGTCAGTACACAACATTGCCATGGATACAAGATGGTCACAAGGCAGACGTGACTTTCAAGGCAAACCAGGCCTTAGCTATACCACATTAATAGTGGGATTTTTCGACAAGGCAAACTCGTAATTCGCCCTTAGAATCCAAGGAACCTATGTCTCAAGACTAATAGTACATCTTGAAAAGTAAAGTAAGACGAGTTTGAAACTTTAATCCATTCTGGATAGGAGATACCTTTTCGGAGACTAAGTTAAGTGAAACTCATTGGTATTCTGAGACATGCTCTTACAATTATAAAGAAATGTAACCATCGTTCCTACATCACTTTATGCAACATAGGGTGACCAGAATTCTTATTCAAGTCATACTAATTACAATGATGATGATAGGCTCGATTTCAAAAGTGAATGATGATAAGTGAGCGAGTAATAAAAATTTGTTTATAAAAAGACCAAGATTCAAAGATAAGCCTGAAAGTAAGAATGGTAAAAGTCAAAAGATATCACAAGGAGCATTTTTCACTGAACGTGACTCAAATAAATATAAATACTGCCAAAGATGAATGGAGGAAATATGGAACGAGATCAAATTCCACGATAATTATTGCTCATAGATAAGAATATTAGGATGGTGCTGCCCTGGCTCGGTCACAGTTTCATTTCGCCTTGGCAACCTGGTTGCATATTATTGTCAGAAGGAGCTCAAGGAAGCCATCCAGTTCTTTGTCCTCTTGTCGTGATAATTCAAGAACCGGACCGATGACTTGGTATCCGCCAAGATGTCCCGCTGAAATCCTGATTGAAAATCGCCATCCTTAGCACAGGGCTAAAGGTCGTAAAAGTGGAATCTCTCCTCTCTCCATTCTATCTCTTAGCACTGTATCATAATACCCTAAGCCCACTTTATATGGTAAATATACCTATCTAAACCTCTCCATCTTCGTTTACTCCATATCTTTTAAGAGTATTTTACTTTGAATGAATTCAATGAAAGCCAATAACCTTGACTACAAAGATATGAAAACGAGCTCAAGCCAATTGCATAATTACTGCTCCTCATCAATGCACTTAACAAAAACCATAAATCATCGGAATAGAACAATTCGGTTTTAGCACGATGAAAAACAAAATAATCAAGGAATGGATAAGGAAAAAGTAGAAAAGAGATTAGGATAAGTTTGCAAGATAAAATTGTGAG